AGTTGAAGCATAATTTTTTATAAATTTTGATTTTGCTAATAAGAGATAATTCTAAAAATTAATATTATAAAAAAAAAATAAAAATTATTTTTAATCATATAGTTTCTAATAAAATAATTTTGCTCGTAAATTTATATATTTTTCTTATCTTTTAACCACATATTTTTTAAAACAATTATTTTTCACTTCACATAATTTCCTCAAACAAATACCTGATAATGAAGTTTTGGAAAAAAATGTATTTTGAAATAGTATTTTTTTTTAGAGAATGTGTAATTTAAAAAGAAAGAAAGATTTTTAATTTATTTGTAATATTATTTTATTAAAAATGTGCGATTGAAAAAAATAAAGAGAAAAATATATTAAAATTAAAATGAAGCCCAACCACGGGCTACATTTCTTTATTGCATGACGGCATTAAGCCCACGTTTAACAATTATTATTTTCAAACTTTTTTTTTTTCCACTTACTCATTTTCGATCACACATTCATACAGATAGGATTGATGTAACATATTTAAGTCATCGTTACTACATTCCGGATTTCACGTGTAGTGCCTCTAATATTGAAAAATTATTCAACAATTTTCTCCCATCATTGCAAGGAAACTACTTTACTAAAAACGAAACATAAAGTCAAAAAAATTGCCTATTTTTTGAATTGCATTCCCTCATTCTAGGTACCATCTGGGTCTCCCAAAGAGAAAACACGAGAAAATAAACAAATACACAATGTCAAGGCTGGCAATAAACTAGTAATTAAGGTTATTCTTAAACATTGGACGCAATCCTAGGCATCATTATCGTATAGCAAGATTTTCAGTACATTGTCGACCGATTATGTATTGTTTAATTCATTTATATATTTGATTTAATATATTAAACAAATAGAAAATAAAAAAATACTATACAATAAATAACAACTTAGAGTGAGTAAAGGTTTTTAGCTATATTCGAGTAATGGAAGTGAACTAGGGATGTGTCTGGTGCTGATTCTTCATCAGTATAAAATTGAAATATTGAGTGTTGCATTGTCAAGGTAGACCTCACCTCTGAGATGGCTGGTCAAAAAAGACGGTCTGATTTTATACGTAACGGCTATGAAATCAATTTTTTTATTTCAAAAAACAAGCTCAGACAATCCCTAAATTGTAATTGACAATATATTCTATTTAAATATCTTTCTGTAAAATCGTCGACTGTCATGTGGTCTACTACACAACTCACATGGGGCTACCTTTATATAGTCGTATTCATGTCATGGACAGTCTAATTTCTTCAACTTGGTAATTGGTAATTAGAACAAAGAAGCAACAACTATTATTGCGAGTATTCATCCATGAATTGTGCTACATGTGCATCAAAATTTACAGATGTTGTGGTGAGATTTTTCTTTTTGTCATTAATCCACATCACATTTGACACTTCAATTTTAATTTATCATCACCTCATCTATTCATAAAATAATCTATAAGCGATGTGCAACAAGGACTTTCCTCCGTGAAATAATTACAGCAGGGCGCACATGCTAGGCATACGTGTACCCACTCGTGCACCTGCATTCATATTTTTGATGGATTTAGTCAACGGTCAAAAGAATCATTTCATCATGCGGTTGTTAATACTTTAATCAAAATCATGGCACTTACTTTTTTCCTCTTACCTTCTTTTTCTCGGTGGTCGGTCACCCAGAAAGCTGTAACCACGTAAGAAATCCATCATAGCCGTTAATACGAAATATAATGATTCCTCTCCGTTGATCGAGAATTCCCACACGTGCAGTCGTGTTGCAACTTGCAAATGAATCTATTGCCAGGCACAACAGAGCACTTTGTGGGCCATCTTTATGGGCCCAAATATCTGGCCCATGTGACTGGCTTAGCTGGTCACCATGTGATTTGATTAACCGTTAAAAGAATCTTTACATCATATCTGATCATTAACTAAGTTAAATCAAACTGCAAGTTGAGATTAAACAGCACGTGTGATGTTTGTACGGAATGTTTAAAAAAATTAATTAATTGACGCATTTACCCTTGATGAATGCATAATCAGAAAGGACATTGTAGTAGTTTTGACGTGTAGTGCAGTTGTAGGGACTTTCGTAATATTTATAAAATGACACACAAAAATATTTAGTCAATAATATAAAGTCATTGTCTAATAATTCATGATAGCTTATAAATTATTGGCTTATACCTAACATAATTATTTTCTCGTTTCAAATGATTACTAGCAATCTTAATCATAATTTCAAGCATTTTATGGATTCTAGTTATATAATTTCAGATTTCATAATTAAAATGGGCCAAAAGTAATGATATGCTTTCAATTATCGGAAATTTCCGCATCTGCATCACTAAAACAAAATGTTTCTTGATTTACTACGTAACATTAATAAAAATAAAAAAAAATACTGGATGATACACATTTTCATGATATATATTTCTGCGGTATATCTGTAAATGATCGATTTGGTGGTTAGGTTTAGGGTTCTTTCTTGGATGGTCATTTCAGCGAGAGATGATCTAGGCGGATGACTTGGTTGAAACTTGAAAATAAGAAATAACACCATTTTAGGTGTGTGATAGAATTTCCACTTCAACTATTTAAGAAGCTCCCCTCAATCTATGAATTTGATATTTTGAAAAATGACGTCTAGCACTAAAATGGGCTTATAGTCAATTTTATAACAATTTTTTACGCAGCTGTTTCGCGCGGTTACTCGCTAACAATTAAAAAGGGATCAGACGATTGTGTAAGGGACAAACCTCTTGGAACAAAGTCCCAAAAAGGGGTGTTTATCGAATATGAAGATTACAGTTTGGATACGAACAAGATGCCTCCAAGGAGCGCAAG